CCGGCGCACGCGGAGAGGCGCGGAGCGGCGCGCAGGATCGGGCCTCCCTGGAGGGGTGTTCTCACCTCGCTGCGCCCGGCGTCGCCTCCTCCGAGCCGGGGGAGAGCTAGAAGTGCGGGCAATGTCAAAGATCCTCGCCTCTCCCAGATAGGATGAGAACGTGTAAAAAAATTAGATGTATTTATGCACATATTTATCCCCTCTAATTATAGAAATTAATCCTCTTACTTATGACTAAAAGGTAACGTCTAAGGCGTCCCTTTGATGTTTAACAGCATCATTTGTGGCTAACATTCCAACTGATTAAGGAATAATTGTTGTTAAATGCTTTACAAGTGGATAGTGTTTAATTGAGAGGCATTCATAATTTTACGGCTTACCACAAAATGAAACGTAATTAAAAACGCAGGAATTTCCAACTGATTTTATTCCAATTTTGTTTATTGTTCAGACTAATTACTGCACAAGATGGGGTACTTTTCCCCATCTCTAAATGGCACACGTCTCCCAGATATACCCCTGTAGGTTTTTCTTTTCCAGGTACAGGCTTGGGACGGCTTTCTGCAGCCTCCGTGTCCCCCCCCCCCCCCCCCGTAATTAAATGCTCCAGCCTTTTCTTCTCTCCTCCATGCAACACCTTGGGATGTGAGAAAGTGATGGCAGCTCTCTTCCCTCGGAGCTCGAAGTAATTGTAGAAGGGCTGATGAATTTCTTGAAGAAACACTTGCCACACACTGAGGAAACCATCTCCTAGCAGGATTTTACAAACCAAAGTAAACAAAGCACCCCAGGGGCGATTTCCTCCTTTTGCGCAGCTTACTTCTCAATTTACCTCAGAAGTGATCACAAACACACACAAGAATTACAACAGAAATCATACTTGGGCTGGGGAAGATATTCCGGATGAAAAGAAGCAGAGAAATTGAAAGTGTTCAAAGGAAGGGACGGTCATTAAAATACCTGCCAGGCGCGCTGCCGTTCCCCAAGCCAACCTTTCCTTCTTCCCCGTGAACTGATATCTCTTCAGCATCTCTTTAAACATACATATCCCTGGGAGAGAAAAAAAAAAAAAAAAAAAAAAAAAAAAAGAAAAAAAAGAAAGAGAAAGAAAGAAAGAAACCCCACACACACCTCAGGTCCATTTTACCAACGCCTTTAAAAAAACCTCATCCTCCCGAAACGGGTGGGGTGGGGAATAAAGTTACTTGGCAAATTTCACTGTTTGCTCGATCGAAGAGAGTTTAGTGTGTAAATGGATTTATTTATTCCTGAGTTTTCCCATTCCTCAGCTGGGCTTTCAGAGAAAATTGGAGAGAGGTGTCTGAGACCATGCGAATAAAAAATCAGCGCTTACAGTTAAAGCGAATAATCAGACGGGATCAGTCCCTGATAAAATGGGGGCGGGGGGCATCAAATGCCCAATACTGCTTCTAATTTGCGTTTTTCCTTTGGGCTCCAGACCGTTAAGGAAGGATCACACACGTACTTATTGCTCCTTTTGTCTCCTTCTTCCTAGCAGGACGCAAACCCCCGCGCGTGTGTGCGCGGTTCGGGGGGCTGTTGCTCCCTTTGGGAGGGTTTCGGCATTCACAGGTGTGCTGTGGCTCGTCTCTGTCTCCCTGTACAGTCTCTCAATTCTCCTGAAGGGTTTAATCTAGGTGTGAGGGTAGAAAAATGTTTAAATTCTACTGGGGAAATAAGGGGGGGGGCGGCGCGGGGAGAGGGG